CGGCTCTTGGAGAACTTGGTGTCCTCGTAATTCAAGTATTCTGAACACATGAAAACATTCATGAATGGTATCAGCCAATCACACGCCACAATATCAATCTGCAACATCTGAAATATCAGATTCTAGAGATTTCTGAATTTTAATATGCATTTACACTTCTGTTTGGAGTCAGTAAGATTGTTTTTTAATATGTTTATTCAGCGAGGACAAATTAAATTGATAGTAAGCGACAGTAAAGACATTATAAATGTTTTTTTAAACTTTCTGTTCATCAAAGAAACCTGAAAAATAAAACATCACGTTTTCCACAATAATATGAAACGGTTTTCAACCCTGATAATAATCATAAATGTTTCTTGAGCATCAGATCCTCATATTAGAGTGATTTCTGAAGGATCATGTGACACTGAAGACTGGAGTAATGATGCTGAAAATACAGCTTTGATCACAGGAATAAATTACACTTTACTATATATTCACATAGAAAACAGCGGATTTATACTATAATATTTTTACAGTAATAAATGCAGCTTTGGTGACTCAAAAACATTAAAAATTCCAACTTTTCATGCAATGGTCATGAAATATACATATTTGATAATATTAGATTGCAATCGTTTTATGTTATTTAAATAATTTGATTTTAAAATAGCATCTCACCGGTGGCAATGAGGTTATTGACCAGTGTGTAGTTGTCTTGAGCTCCGAGAAGTGAACAAGGGAAGACGACACTGTGGAAGGGAACGTTGTCCTTCGCCATGAAGTTGTACAGCTCCACCTATAGGACACACACAGCAATCACACGCTGAAACACACCGGTTATGGAACGCAGCGTTGTGTCAATCAGTGGGAGAACTGAGAGTATTCATTAAATTGACCCTTTTCTCAGTAGTCCTTAAAGAATTTGAAAATTACTTTTCTACTATTCAGTCTAGTACTAATGGAAAAGCTATTAAGACTGTTCATTTGTGTACAATATTCAAAATCTTTGAATGATACAAACGTCTTGTATTTTTGTGAATGTTTTTTTTTGTTTTATTATTTTTAATGGGTTTTCTTTGCTCCCCTGGCTCCAAAGTGTATGTTGTATTGTTTTGTTGTTTAAAAGCATATATATATATATATATAGGGAAGAAAAGACGAGCACAACTTAAACATTTCCCAAAACAACCACAAAACAAAATCTGTAAAATCATCCAAGACACATGTGTGATTTGCATCAAGCTCAGGAGGTGAAATCTCATAATATGAAACTTGATCAGCACCTGCTGAGGGTTCTTCCACCATTTCTCCCATTGGTCGGTGTAGTTTGCCGTGATGGACAGGTAGCCAATAGGAGCGTCGAACCAAACGTAGAACACCTTCATGGACAGACGGACACATTGGTTCATTGTGCATTTGGATTAACGGACAATATTAGTGAAATAACTAGTGCTGACGATTAATCGATTAAAAAAATTAACTAGATTTCATTGCAAATATGAAAATTAGCCCATGATTTACTCGCCCTCAAGTCATCCTAGGTGTATATGACTTTCTTCTTTCAGACGAATACAATCAGAGTTATATTAAAAAATGTCCTGGCTCTTCCGAGCTTTATAATGGCAGTGAATGGCTGTTTCTGTTTTGAAGGCCATAAAAGTGCATTTATCCATCATAAAAGTGCATCTGTCCATCATAAAAGTGCATCTGTCCATCATAAAAGTGCATCTATCCATCATAAAAGTGCATCTATCCATCATAAAAGTGCATCTATCTATGATAAAAGTTCATCTATCCATCATAAAAGTGCATCTATCCATCATAAAAGTGCATCTATCCATCATAAAAGTGCATCTGTCTATCATAAAAGTGCATCTGTCTATCATAAAAGTGCATCTATCCATGATAAAAGTGCATCTGTCCATCATAAAAGTGCATCTATCCATCATAAAAGTGCATCTATCCATCATAAAAGTGCATCTGTCTATCATAAAAGTGCATCTGTCTATCATAAAAGTGCATCTATCCATCATAAAAGTGCATCTGTCCATCATAAAAGTGCATCTATCCATCATAAAAGTGCATCTATCCATCATAAAAGTGCATCTGTCCATCATAAAAGTGCATCTATCTATGATAAAAGTTCATCTATCCATCATAAAAGTTCATCTATCCATCATAAAAGTGCATCTGTCCATCATAAAAGTGCATCTGTCCATCATAAAAGTGCATCTATCCATCATAAAAGTGCATCTGTCCATCATAAAAGTGCATCTATCCATCATAAAAGTGCATCTATCCATCATAAAAGTGCATCTGTCCATCATAAAAGTGCATCTATCTATGATAAAAGTTCATCTATCCATCATAAAAGTTCATCTATCCATCATAAAAGTGCATCTGTCCATCATAAAAGTGCATCTGTCTATCATAAAAGTGCATCTGTCTATCATAAAAGTGCATCTGTCTATCATAAAAGTGCATCTGTCTATCATAAAAGTGCATCTATCCATCATAAAAGTGCATCTGTCCATCATAAAAGTGCATCTATCCATCATAAAAGTGCATCTGTCCATCATAAAAGTGCATCTGTCCATCATAAAAGTGCATCTATCCATCATAAAAGTGCATCTATCCATCATAAAAGTGCATCTATCCATCATAAAAGTGCATCTGTCCATCATAAAAGTGCATCTATCCATCATAAAAGTGCATCTGTCCATCATAAAAGTGCATCTGTCCATCATAAAAGTGCATCTATCCATCATAAAAGTGCATCTATCCATCATAAAAGTGCATCTATCCATCATAAAAGTGCATCTATCCATCATAAAAGTGCATCTGTCCATCATAAAAGTGCATCTGTCCATCATAAAAGTGCATCTATCCATCATAAAAGTGCATCTGTCCATCATAAAAGTGCATCTGTCCATCATAAAAGTGCATCTGTCCATCATAAAAGTGCATCTATCCATCATAAAAGTGCATCTATCCATCATAAAAGTGCATCTATCCATGATAAAAGTGCATCTGTCTATCATAAAAGTGCATCTATCCATCATAAAAGTGCATCTATCCATCATAAAAGTGCATCTGTCCATCATAAAAGTGCATCTGTCCATCATAAAAGTGCATCTATCCATCATAAAAGTGCATCTATCCATGATAAAAGTGCATCTGTCTATCATAAAAGTGCATCTATCCATCATAAAAGTGCATCTATCTGTCCATCATAAAAGTGCATCTGTCCATCATAAAAGTGCATCTATCCATCATAAAAGTGCATCTATCCATGATAAAAGTGCATCTGTCTATCATAAAAGTGCATCTATCAATCATAAAAGTGCATCTATCCATCATAAAAGTGCATCTATCCATCATAAAAGTGCATCTATCCATGATAAAAGTGCATCTGTCTATCATAAAAGTGCATCTATCCATCATAAAAGTGCATCTATCCATCATAAAAGTGCATCTGTCCATCATAAAAGTGCATCTATCCATCATAAAAGTGCATCTGTCCATCATAAAAGTGCATCTATCCATCATAAAAGTGCATCTATCCATCATAAAAGTGCATCTATCCATCATAAAAGTGCATCTATCCATCATAAAAGTGCATCATAAAAGTGCATCTATCCATCATAAAAGTGCATCTATCCATCATAAAAGTGCATCTGTCCATCATAAAAGTGCATCTATCCATCATAAAAGTGCATCTATCCATCATAAAAGTGCATCTATCCATCATAAAAGTGCATCTATCCATCATAAAAGTGCATCATAAAAGTGCATCTATCCATCATAAAAGTGCATCTATCCATCATAAAAGTGCATCTATCCATCATAAAAGTGCATCTATCCATCATAAAAGTGCATCTATCCATCATAAAAGTGCATAATTGTATGGACTTCAAAACAGAAACGGCCATTCACTGCCATTATAAAGCTCGGAAGATCCACCACATTTTTTAATATAACTCTGATTGTATTCGTCTGAAAAAAGAAAGTCACATACACCTAAGATGACTTGAGAGTAAATCATGGGCTAATTTTCATTTTTGGGTGAACTATCCCTTTAACACAATACGTTGACAGCACTAGAAACAACATCTCAGGATTGTGCGTTCATACTTTCTCCTTGAAGTCCTCGTGAGGCACGGGCGTCCCCCAGCGCAGGTCTCGTGTGATGCACCGGGGCTTCAGGCCGTCCCGGAGCCACGAGCGCGTGATGTGCCGAGCGTTCGCCGTCCAATCGCCCGAGCCGATCGACTTCTCCAGCCACTGCTCCAGCTCGCCCTCCAGCTATCACACACACACTCTAAATTAATCCGGATACATTTGAAAACGGCGTTTTCGCTAAAAAAAAGTTTTCAAAACTTTGCGTTTTCACCCAAAAACACTACAATCTTGTGTCGACGCCCCACGGAAGAGAGAGAGAGTGTGTGTGTGTGTGTGTGTGTGTGTGGGGGGGAGCAGCTCATTATCATTTAAAGAGACATGCACCGAAACGGGTCGGTGTGACAGGGCTGTTTTTGAGGAGGTAAAAGGGTGTTTTACACAATCATTGAGGAATTTTAACTAAAAGTATGTTACAAACTTTCCATGAAGACCCTAATCATTAGCCTGACGTCATCATACTCAGACTCTAGTCAGCATGTGAGATACGGCTCCACTGGGCTGTGATTATGGGGCGTTTCAACCCAACCAGGAAAGAAAACGCCTCTGCACTCGACTGGATCGACAAATGGCTTGATGGCGGTTCTGTTCCTCTTCTAAATGAATGCGCTGTCTACATCTTCTATAACAGACGCGACGGCTGAGTGTGTGAGTGAGTGTGTGAGTGAGTGTGTGAGTGAGTGTGTGAGTGAGTGTGTGAGTGAGTGAGTGAGTGAGTGAGTGAGTGAGTGAGTGTGTGAGTGTGTGAATGAGTGAGTGAGTGAGTGAGTGAGTGAGAGTGTGAGTGAGTGTGTGAGTGTGTGAGTGAGTGAGTGAGTGAGTGAGTGAGTGTGTGAGTG